TCGCGCCCCTCGCGCCCCGACGCGTTGCGCCCCTCGGCCCCTTGGCTCCGGGCCTGCGTACCCTTCGCCCCGCGCCCGCGGTCCCACGTTCCGACGCGATGCGCCCCGGATCTACCGCGCCCAACCTGTAAATGCAAGTTACACTTCACTAATGCCGAATTTTCCATTTTACAGGAGCCTGATCGAAACGTGCATGTTGCGTGTAGCGCGGAGCAGCCAGTTCTTATCCTTCGTGATAGAGGCGTGGTGGAAGAGCTGCGAGCGCCGCCCGTCGTGCCACCCGCTGACAACGAACCACGAATCGTGAACTGCTCGGACGCCGTGCATGCCGAAATGGAGAGGAGGGAGCAGGAGCGTGGGCTGCGGGAACCACCACGGGAGGCGCACGCCCTCCCCAACTCCCCGCCCGGGTTGTTGCAGTTCGCGGCCGTGCGGCCGACGCGCGGCATCCCATTTGGTCGCGGGCAAGGGCGCGTGCCCCGGTTTGGCCCACGGCCACCATACCAACCACCAACACCACCATCACCACCACCAATTTCACCACCTGCTTCGCCTCCTGCTGTATCACCACGTTCTCAGGTCTCACCACATCATTCACCAGCATCATCCCGAGGGTTTGGCTCGCCTGCTGGCTCGCCTGCTCGCTCACCCCAGCGGGACCCACCAGGTCCAGGCCTACGACACCGCGGTGGTGGTCGGGGCGCTGCTAGAGGGCTGAGAAGAGTTAGGCGGCGCGGGGGTCGCCAGCCCGCGGCCCCGCGAAACCCAGTGGATGCCCCTGACCCCGACGTTCAAGGCCAGTACGTCCAAATGATGCTGCAGCAGGGGCGTGAGGAGAGGGACCAGCTCATTGGAGAAGAGGACGAGCAGGTCGGGGATGGAGATGTTGGAGGGGTCGGAGAGCAAGTGGAGCCACCGCGGCGTAACAACGCCCCCGCCCCACGCGGCCCAGGCGCTCGGGTGAACGCCGCCGGCAACGGAGTGCGCCCAATCCGGGCTGCGCGTCGACGCGTCCGCGACGAGCGCGCAGAGGAGTTTCTGGGGAGGCTAGAGGCCCTGGATGAAAGGCTGGAAGAGACTCTAGCAGGTGTGCAGCAGGACCCCCTGGACGAATGCACCGCGTACGGCCAAATGATGGGGCGTATGCTCAGGCGCGTACCGGAGGAGAACCGCATAGAAGCCATTGCTGAGTCTGTAAGAGTCCTCCGGGGACACTTACCTTAGCTGTCTGTCACCATAGTTTGTCTGCATTAAAGTAATTTTGTTTTCTAATAATTTGTTTGAAATGCTTGTGAAAATTTATAATTGCACCAATTGTAGACACTGTCCTTCTGTTCTGACAAATTTACCATTTTGGACAATAATGGATCTAAATGCAGCAACTGACTCACACCTGCAACCCATTCACATTTTTTAATACCTCTTACACTTCTTGGTCAGTGAGGGCCAGTTTTTCACGTTAAAATTTATCACATTAATATTTTGTTACTAACATTCAAACACACTATTTGGACCTTTTTTTAGTGGATGATCTAATAATACCCTGCTGGGCGTTGGGTTTTGAGTTATGTGCCAGACACAATAAGAAATTTGATGATTGTGTTCCCCACCACAGATCTGACAGAACAAAATTTGCAATTTCTTTCCTCTAAAAAAGTACTTAAAATAATGGGACTAAATTTGGGCCATTTTTAATGTTTTTAAAATGTTATGAAAGAATATCTTAATCAAAAGCAAAGTAGAACACAAATTTTAAAATGTGTTCTATCAGTTCTAAAGCTAAAAAAAGAACTATAGCTCTTTGCTATTCGATAAAGAATTTTTAACATCCAACTTAGTCGGAACATAAGTGTTGCGCAGTAAACATTTTTGGTGAAGCGGTGCAAAACAATTTGTTGGTTTAAAACTTTTGAATGGTTTAAGATACA